CTCGGCTTTTGCAGGAACTAGAACACTCGTCTTAGGTTCAGTCTACTCCTGGAAGCGTCGGCTGAACTTCGTGCCCAGTCTACGCGGAAAGGCTGCGAGGGGGTTTGTGTAGTGTAGGAGGCCGTGTTTGTTCGCCTACACCACCTGTCAAAGTAACGCTCCAATTTTTCTTGAAACGGCTTAGCTAACCTACTGACAAGCAGACGGTGTCTTTCCACTACCCCGAATACGGTCTCTGGGGAAGTCGACACGTGTATCTTCCCCTGCATAGTGGTCTCCGTTTCATTCACCAGGGGACGTGCTGTTCCCCTTATATGTGCACCTTGAATAACTGTACGTCGCGTTGATTGCCGGTCCGCTTAAACCTCACTACAGTTTTTTTGTCGTCAGAGGGCGATATGTCGCAAGTCTTTCACTCGCTTACGACACACGAGTCATACAAACCTAGTTGTGGACTGTGTACGACTTACGGTTCGAAAGTGTGTTACCTTGAGTTAGTTTCATCGTGAGCGCGAGGGCTGACTGTTGTGAGAAGGTGGTTACAAAGAATCCTAACATAATGTAAAATTTACGGTGCCAAACAGTACACAGGACCTCGTTTACCTGGTTTTTGCCATACTAAAAACAACACTAATGAACTTTTCACCGTCTTTATCATAACATGCTCAATGATGGACAAACACAATAACTCTCCGCGAATCGACAAAAAACTACCATAGAGTTCCTTTTCAATTCTGACCGCATCAGATAACATAAGTCATTTTACGTGAAACCTACCGTGACCACGTTTTTTCTTCAGAGTTGAGAGAGACATGTTTTAGAGTTGCTATCATAGGACCACCGTTACTAGCACCACTAGATGCACTTTCAAAAAATTTGCTGCGTTGTGGTTTGGTGGTTTCTATGCAACGTGGAGTGTTGCGTTCATGGTCTGTACTAGTGTAGGAATTTGGCTACGGGAGGCTGGGCCACTCGGGAGTTGGTTCTGGGCCGCATCTGGCCCGCGGGCCGCCAGTTGAATAGGCCTGGTATATACCATTCAATTATTTAACACCAATACTGTAGGGACAAAGTCAGCCATTTGAAACGGTGGTGTGGATTTGTAAAAGACACGAATTTGTAAAATAAAATTACATAAATTAATTAAACAACCGTATAAAGAAGAATAGTAAAAATAATCTTTAAAAGAGGTGCCATCATAGAGATTGTGCGTGTGTATGTTTTTAAGCGGATTGTTTTATAAATGTGTTACTACTTAAAGCACAGTGAATGTATTGGAGGACATCTGCTGGCTGAGTGGATGCAGTGCAGTTGAATAAGGCAGACAATGGGCGAGTTTTATTTCTGATTTCTCTGAGTTCTATGCACACTGTTGTGTTATCCTTTTTTCAAAAAGCTGAAACTATTTCCTATGTTTCCAGTGTTGAGACGGTAAGAAGGGATGAAAGGAAAATATGAGTTGTAGAAGGAAAGGGAAAAGTGAATGAATGTAAAAGTGGAAGAGCTTTGCAGTTTGAAAAGAGGAAGAAGAAATATGAGAAATGTTCAGAGGAATGTGCGAAGGAAAACAACGATATGAGTGAAATCATGTCATAGTGTCTCCACTGATGGAGGGTGAGACGCAGCAGCAGTGAGCAGTTATAAAAAGGTCGACAGTGTTTGGACTGTAACTGGACTCCTGCAGGATGAGCTGCTCAGGACCAACAGAACTATTCTTAGACCTTTTGTTGTGCTGACGGTCGTCACGCTGAAAACATGTGGAAGGTCAAACGTGAGTGTTTTCACTGCATGCCTAGTGTTTTTCACTCCGTAAACTAACTCAGTGAGCATGGCTAGATCAACATTATTATGAACCTTTGTATCCTGTGGTTAACTGTCCTTCAGTTCTCTTTTTCTCCAGACTCTACACAAGATTTAGATGAAGAGTTTTTGATATGGGGATAATCTCACAGATACAGTTGTATAATATCAATCTTGTGTAGAAGGCTGATTCATTAATGTAAAGCCATTAACATTTTAGACAGGAGAGCAACTACCTTTTTAGTATTTTTTATTTGGTTTTATCTTTGCATTAATCACAATTTCACAACAAGTATTTTCTTGTTTTGTTTGTATGTATCCAGCTCCAGTCTATTATCCCATGGAGACGAGGTACCGGGCAACTTTGGAGGTAACATATCTCATGAATATCTAATATTATTGTGCCATATATTTCATAGTTAATATTGCACATATCATCTTTCTACACACATCTTCTTATCTTTGTTGTTTATATTGTAGAATAAGATGTATATCTTAACTCAGTCCTGGAGTACTCAACAAAGCATTTCACTGCAAGATGTTGAGTGTGTGAAAAATAAAAACCTTGAAACAGTGGAAGTAATGTAGTCATAGATATCTAACACTGAAGACAAACTTTGAATTATGGCTTTATCTCCAAGAAGTGAAAATTGATCCTTGCAGTGAATTCCCTGGATCATCATTTGTTTATTTATTTTTAAACTGGATTTATATGAAGATAAGTAAGCTCCTGAAATCTAACTTGATCTCTTGATCCAAATAAACACATGAGAAATATCGTTCGGCCATTATTAAGTCTATAATAACTCTTCCTAATCTAATCTACAACAACTTCCTGTTCAGAGTTTGGTCCCCCCCGACCCCATGTCCCAGTTCCCCCTGAGGAGAGGTTCCCCTGACGAGGAGTTCCCTGACCTGAGCAGGAACCACACCTGGATGGGCCGGATCCTCACAGCGGCCATGTACCGCCGCCAGTTCCACCGCTGCACCCACAGCGGGGTGCTCTTTGATGATGTCATCCGCCCGGGCCTCGAGGAACCAGGTGATGTCAGCATGCTGTCAGAGTGATGTCAGAATGATGGAGGCTGTGAAGAGAATCCCAGTGGGATTAAAATAAGGAAGAACTGATAGAAGGACATCATGGACATTTTACTTATTAACACGTATACATGTATGTCCAATTTTGTAATATTGTAGTATTGTATTCAAGAAAAAGTATGAACATTGAGCAGGAGAAGTTAGATGCCAGAAATAGCTTATGAACATTCGTCCCTAATAAGATATCAATTGTCAAACGTAAACAATTGAAAGAGTTTCAAAACACAAAAACAAAGAGTGCTTAATTCCACAAATTCAAGACAAAGCAGAAATACAAAGTTAATCGAAATGCAGTATATGTTTCAGAGTCGAGAATAACGGTAATGTAGATGTTGAAAAGTAGGTTGTTCCAAAGCGATGGTCTTCTGAATTTGTAACAAGTTTTGACAACAGATAGTACATGTTTTGAGTCTTTTTCCCTATGTTTAAGACCTACTGATGTTCGATTGGTTTAATTATAAGCAACGTTTGGACAAAAGTAACTATCATAATTACAGTTATTCCAGACGAAAATAATGGCAGATAATGCATGTGAGGGAAACTTTTTTTTACGTTTTCAGGATAGCAGCTATAGGTATGCGTTTCTTGTGCATTAACCTGCAGTTCCTTTTGTAGCCACTAGATGGCTGATAAAAAAAACATGATCATTTAATCTTGCGAAAAAGTGTGTAAGAAAACTCTACAAACAATTTATCCGATCTGGTAGGATTACATTTGTATGTCTCTGTGTGTGTATGAAGGTGATTGGTGCAGTCCTGCCTCTGTGGGCTGTGTGGCGGGCGACGCTGAGTCCTACATCCTGTTCTGCGACTTCTTCGACCGTGTCATCGAGTCGCATCACGGACACAAAATCACCAGCCAGACGCCAGAGAGCGACTTCAACTGCGACAACCTGAAGGTAGCTGGTCAAAAGAAAACTCTCACTGCGGTTAAACCCAATTTAAAGCCTGCTTTGCATTTGGTGTCTGGTGTCTGTCATCTGCCTACATCTGCAAGGCAAGGGTCAATGGAAGGCAAGGGTCAATGGAGTCTGTCTACTTGACTCTTTGAACTGAACAAGCGAACAAACATGTGTGACATCCATGTGTCCAGCGCACAATTTAGTCTAAATAGAACAGTCTGTATAAGAGAAATGCTTGTTTGAGCTCACAAAGTTCTGGAAAAAGAAAATGCTGAACAACACATTTTTTTTCAATGCTCGCACGTCAGCTTTACAAGCTCAATGTCAGTGTCACATTTTTACCGATATGTTTCTGTGTGTATGCAGGGGGGTGAGGACTTGGACAGATCATACGCCGTACGCTGTGAGGTGAGCGTTGTTCGAGGCGTCGAGGGCTTCTGTTTCCCGACACACTGCAGCCGAGGAGAGCGCAGAGAGCTCCTCACACTGGCCAGAAGAGGTACTGCATATCTCAGAGTATCTCAGTTAATTCATAGCTACCTTTACGGTACGTCCACACGGCAGCGTGCGTTGAAGCTTGCCGGTGGGCGTGTCTGACTCGCGACCAACAACCAATCACATTCATCTCCTGCCCCGGAGACACAAGCACGCGGTTGGCTAGCACTTGCACTGGCATATGATTTGATTGGCTGACACTTCCGTCGAAGCTTGAAAAGTTGAACTGCTTTAGACGTAACACCCAAGCAGCGCAGCGAAACGGAGGCAACGAAGCGAAGTTT